TAATTCCTTGCAGAACATTTTTTAAAAGTTCTGTTCTTCTCTAATCTATGAATTGTTGGAGGAGGCTCTCAAACTGCCCGCTGGCTGTGTTTTCTGGCTGTATCATTACTTAGCCAAGCTGATTAAGACTAATTTTGGTCAAAATAAATCCGTGCTTGGGCAAACAACCAATGTGCAGTGTCTCAACTAGAGGCAATTAAATAGAGATTCATTTTATGATGGAGACTGTTAATCACTGATGTGGTTTTAGACATCATTCTGATGAACCAATGGCGAAGTAATGTTTCAGTGTGTCAGACTATCCTGGGATTTATTTCCTATGTTTTTTTTCTCACTTTAGAGTTGCTCTTTGATTCTGGCAAATCATCCTTTCTGATGATGGTTTCAAATCAGCTTGTCTGACTCATGGCTACAAAGAGGAGGTTTTCTCAGGAGCTAGTAGGATGAGTATTAAAAAAAACACACAGAGACAGATGGTAGACTTTATTTTACTGGCTCATCTGCTTTGGCAGGGAATGATTATGCATTCAAAGTAAGTGGCAGCAGAAGTCAAGTCTAACTGAGATTTTTCTCACATGTTTCCTTGTGGATAACCTAAAATACAGCATCAGGGACAGCTGAAAACCTGATCAAGTGCAGGGAGAAGGCCCCCGAAGACACGATCATGGTGCAACCCGAGGCTGGAGCAGAACTGAGAGGTCATTTGCTTTGAGATTCTAGCTTACTTAGAACCTTCCTACAACCTCATTGTCAGATGATATTTTAGTCTTTGCTTGAACCCCTTGGGTGATGGGAAACTATCTATTTCCATTTGTAGACTGTTAACTGTGACACAATTCTTTCTTTCTTTGAGCTGATATTGACTTCTGAGTTGTAGCCATTCATCCATTCATTAATCCTGGCTATGTTTTTTGGAAGCAACACAGAACAAATGGATTTCCTATTGCACCTGGCAGCTGGCTCAGTTGTGAGCTAGAATGTCATCTCAAGTCATCTACAGGCCAACCGTTCCCAGTTCCTTGGATCATTCCCCATATGAATTGGGTTGGGTCCTGGCTCATAAACCCATTAAATTAGAGAAACTAGGAAGAGACAGAAATAGTGTAATTAGTTTAAACTTGCTTAACCCACCTACACAGCACAGACAAATTGAACGTTCAATACTAGGCTCATAAAAATAAGAGAGACTTGTTAATTTGGTTTCAGAAGATAAAGCAGGAGTAGTGACAGCAAAGGCCATCTCTCAAAGACCATCTTTCCTGTTCTTGTCCCAGGCAATATAGGTCCAGCCCTGTCTCCCTGTAGACTGTTGATAATGTTAAGGAGACTTAGTGGCTCTACCCTGGCCCTTTAAATAAAGTTGATGTACCCACTCATTACCCCAGAATTGGCTTACAAGTGCAAGAATTTTAGTCCAGAGATTTCTAGGACTCTAATGGAGATTTAGGGATCCCTAGAGACAGATTTGCTTTGGAGACTCTGGAATGGCTGAATGGGCAGAACTGTTCAACTGAAGCCTTTTTTCCCCTTTCTCTCTTACACATAAGATTTTTATAGTCAATATTGTTGATTGGAAAAATAAGTTCTACAGCTAGAAGACCATTGGACTGTAGCCAGGACTGTCTACTCTTTTCTCTCTTTCCTTTCCATGGTCATCCCTGGGACATCTTTGATTTCATCTCCCTGGTTCTGAGGCCATAGATTGTGCCTCGCCAGGATTCTGTTGTCCTATCATCTAATGCCCATTATCGTGTAGGAAATGCTACAACGTGGATGACTCAGGGAAGAGATAGTAATAAGATGGCTAAAACCTGGCAATTTTTTGGGGAGAGGCCTCAGGTGCAGAGACTTGAGACAATCATACTCCTCTCTATTCCATGCTGGCTATCATTAATTTCATTTTTTCTCTTCACATATTTCTTTGCTTTGGTTTGCCACATATTTCAATCCATTTGCCACCTGATCTGCCACCTATTCTAGCTTGGCTCTGCCCAGCTGTGGAAGCGGAGACCAACTTTTCTCACTTGGGGAATTGCTTTTGCTCCTGAAGCATGAGACACTGCAGCACCTGCTCCGTGGCCAGGTATGCACAGCCTAGAAGTGGAGGGGCGTCAACCCCATTTGTAATAATGGGAGATGAGAATCAGTAGGTGAATTCTTCCTTCCTTCCCCATTCCTCAGTGAACTATGCTGAGATGCAATAGTTCATACGGCCCCTTAGAGGATGGTTTTGCACACCTGAGTACTCAATTGTACTTGGTACTGAGTGTGGCCGACTGAGCAATGCACCTTCATGTTTACTCTCTTTTCTTCCATGCTTCATTTCCTTTTGCCTCCACTCCGGCTTCCTTGGGGCTACCATGCCTATTAACACTGTAGCTCCTGAGCTCTATTTTGGGGGGAATCCAGGATAAGACAGGTCTCTTCTTATTTGCATATAACCTCCAGGCAATATCATTTTACAGATACAGACTTCATTTATGATTTCATCAGTGTATGGTGCAAGTGGATTCTGTCTTTAAAGAGTATAACATGGCATATTTTTTACCAAGTAGCCTACGGATTCTCCTGAGCTATACACTCAAAGGGCATCTGTAACACTCTGTATGTCAGTAGTTTGACTAAGTTTTGCTTTGGTTTGAGCACAATTTAATGTGTCAGAACTTGCGTATGTGATCATAATGACAATTCCACTTATTTACAAAGCTAAAGTGCCCTGAGCAGCTAACTACGGAGCCAGGGTGGATTCTCATGCTGAGGGTGGAGAAGCAAACCAACTTTGTCCTCTGGCTGCTCTTCACTTCAGGTTTGTGCCATGACATCAGCTCCAGAACCCAAACCATGACATTAGACATCACATTAGTTTGAGGTCAGCTTTGCCTGTGTAAAGGGATTTAGAATTGTACCCAACTGGAATATATAGGTAAAAAACTCTCCAAAGTAAAATGGATAAAGTTATTTCTTGAGAGGGGGAAACGTATTCATTATGGTGGAGTTGGGAGATACATAATGTAGAAAAGAGATAAATATAAAGGCTTTGAATAGAAAATGGAAGACCTCAGAAAGTAGTACTCTGGACTGATGTAGCCCAGAGACATAACAAGTGTTTGCTTCATCTTACCTGGACTGGCCTTTTCATGAGCCTGGGAGGATGCGATCAAACACTTCTTGTGGAAAGTGTTTATTTCATTCATGTCCTAGCCAAACCATGCCGAGCTTCCTCCGTGTTACGGAGACCCTGCTGCTGGACTGAACATGGATGTGCTTTTGGACTTAACTTTTGGTGGGACATTTGGTACTTTTGCATGCCCATCATTCTTCCCTATTTCTTAGAACAGCAAGACTTAGAATTTGCTTCGAGGAATCTCCCTGCCCTAACTCTCAGCCCATAGCATAGGTGGGGCTGATTTATTCCTTTTCCCCCCTTGCAGTTGCAGGATTTCAGAGGAGTAATCTAATTGCATATCTGTCCTCCTTGCCACAGTGATTGGCTCAGCAGTCAGGGCACCTGACTCAATTTGGGCCAATGGGAATTAGGCTCAGGATTTTCACTGGAATTGCTGGGGACAAGAAACTCTCTTGCTGCTGTATTCAGAGCTGTAAAATGGATTCTGGAGCTACTTTCATGGGGCCACAATGAAAGGCCATGTGGACATGAAGTCTACTTGAAGGAAAGGATAAAGAGAGGAGCTTCCTGCAAACACCGAGTGAGCACTCAGAACCAGCCATGTCTGCAGTTATTGTACCCCCAGATTCCAGATTATTAAGGTCAATAATGGCCTTTATGCTTAAGCCAGTGTTGGTTAGCTTTTTGTCACTTGCACAGAAAGAATACTGACTAACATATGTTTGGGGCAATGCGGATTGAGTATATGCTTGTAGCTGATAGTATCATTCCATTAATAATATTCTGAAACATTTTGAGATAAAAGATAAATGTAGTTCTTGAGCTGCAAACACTTAACTCTCTCCCTGTCCCTCAATCTCTGTGACCCCTTCTTCCAAAGCAGTAACCCCCATCAGCATTTTACTCCTCTCCACGCCCTCTACACTTTCCTCCCAAATACACTTGCTTATTCCAGTAGATGTTTACACAACATGTGTCCTTTTATCTCTGTTTCCCTCTTTTTGGCAGCTGCTGAGGCGAGAAGAGCAGGCAACTCTTTAGAAAATAATAATATTTGAAAAAAGAGACAGAAAAGTATATTTGTTATAAGCTTTTCCTTTTTTTTTTTTTTTAGAATTTAAGCTTATAAGTTTATCTATGCCCACTATATTCATAATTACAATTTAATATCTGCATACAAAAGCTATGTAAAAATCCATTTTTTCCCAAATATACAAATTTTCTTTTTGGATAGTTTAAAACATTTTGATCACAGATTTCAACAGAGTTTTAGGCTGAAAAAAATATCACCGTCTAGCAATATCACTTAACACTGTTTGCAAAACACAAATCTTCCCATGACCGTAAATCTTTTTCCATTCTGTAGTATTTTTCTGATTCTCAGGGCATGAAGGCATTATGGAAAATAAAGTGTTTTCTCTGAGAAGAGCATGGAGAACTAATTTGGCTCTATGGTCAAATTAGAAATGCCAAGTTAATACAGGAGAACCAAAAAAAAAAAAAAAAAAGAAAAGAAAAGAAAAGAAGAAGTGGCATAATGTTGCGTCAGCTCATTCATTCATGCCCTGACAATTCTATATCAACAATACATGTGTAAAGTGTCTTCTTTTGTCTTACATTGTGCTCCATAATTTACATGAGTATTATCTGCATCCTGAGGAGGACTGATTTATATTTGATTGTCTTGTGCATAAGGTGGGTCAGTTTTAACTGTGCAACAGAAAGCCACAAATAGCATCTTACCTGCACAATATTGCTCTTGAAGGCGGCATTAATTAATGTGGAAACACACTAGAAATGCACACTTTTTGCATTTGCAAACATTTATACAGCACAGTAAAAATTCTGTGATAAGGCCAAACCTTTATTCCCCCTAGTCTGTTGTGTGTGTGTGTGTGTGTGTGTGTGTGTTTAATGTATTTTTTTTTAAAGATTAAAGTAAAATGTCTCAATTGTAAAAAATACACACCGGGCAAATCCTTACCTGGATAATAAATATCTACATCACAGTACAATAAAATTTCTTCTCTATAAAATTTAAATATGGATTATAGTCTATCACTATCAAAAGAAACACTATGCTAATATTTCCATATTATTAAAATAACAGGAAAAATTACGAGCTTATTTTAGAACCTGATGCAATGGCCGTTGGAAAGGGCAAAGAGATTCAAATGTCTGTCATCACTCTCCTTTTGAAGAGGAACTGTGGCTTGGTTGTTCAGTTCATGAAAAAGGTTTAGCCTTACAAATGCTGGCTACATTTCAAAAACCATAAGACCGATTTCATAATTTATGACTCATGCAGCAAAAGGTCAATAGGACACGAATAGGTTAGAGTTCTGTAGAATAAAAAGGTATCACTGACAATGACATGCTTTGAGGGTGCTCAGCGGTTCCTTGGAGGCTGAGTCTGGGGGTGCGTAGTGTCGAGGAGGGGCCAAGGCTCGTAGCCCTGTTTGAGGAGGAGCAACGAGAATGACGTTGCTGGCGCAGCACCGGGGCCTGGCAGTCCACCCGGTGACTGCGCTGTGGTGGACGGGAGAGGCGTCACTCGGGGCACAAGGGAGGGGGCTTCGCTGGGCTGAGGCATCAACACGGCAAGCGCGTCATTGAGGACTGAGGCTCATTTGACTTAGAAAAAGCTCTGAGGCGGCACGTGGTGTTTTGAGCAGAATCATAAAGAAGGAAAGATCTTACTTTTTTCACTATTTCTGGAAATACTGCACATCTAAATTGAAGAGCAAAGTACACTTGAGGGTCACAAACACACGTGCACGCACACACACACTCACACACACGCACATACACCACTCATCTCTAAAAGTGAAGTGATTTATAAGTAAGAATCCCAGCATAAGGGGTGTGTTCTCCTGTACTGGGATGGGTCCCCACGGCAGGGGTGTGTGTGGGGGTGCAGGTGCAAAGGGTGTTTCCATCAAGTCCATACTTGATTTGAAAGTTGGGACAATTCATGAAAAAAAATGTTTAAAAGAAATCCAGAGCAAATGCCTCACGATCGAGTTTTATGAGATGGAGTCTTGAGATGCACTAAGTACCTCTGTCAGTTTCAGAAGGAACGAGGTTAGTCACTTTGACTACCGGCTCAGAGGCTCAAGAGCCTGTGAGTCCTATAGCTTTTACTTTCAACCTGAAGTATTCTAAGGCTTGTCCTACTTAGCATAAAGTATGTAGCCTTCAACAAGATTTCTGGATCAGAGAGAGGTTTGCCTACTTAAGGTGATCTCTCAAGGAGCCGAAGATCAAACTTTCCTTTCCTTGGGGCTGGCTGGCTTACTGCAGATATGCTGTACTGTTTGGCGAATTCCCAATTGCGATTAATCCCTAAAGCATTCTGATTTCACTTGAGATCAGGCTCTCTGCTTACGTTTGAATCTGGGTGTCTGATATACTACAGAGTATCAGTATATATCAAACAAAATATGGAAACTTCCTCCAGAAGGCCTGATGTCCCAGGAGTTTATGAACCTGTCTGGTACCCACCTGCTTGCCTTCCTTCCTCTCATGCCCTTTGGAAGAAAACTTGCCCCAGAGAGCAAAGCTGCCCAGAGTTCCCCTGGAGCATAGAGGTGGCTAAGTGTGTCTCTTTCAAAGAGTAGTTCTCCAAAGAGAGCTAAACAGAGGGAACTGAGATGTTAACAAAGCAAGCCTAGACAAAACAAAACCAAAAAAACCCCCGCAATAAAACCTGCCTGTAGATAAAAGTCAGAGCAGGTAATCTGCCCATGAACTTCATGCTTATAATGTAATCTCTTCTACTTCCTTTCTCTGATTAACAGATTCCATAGCGATGTTCATGTTTCCTTTTCCCCAGAAGCTAGTAAAATTGCTTTAGTGCATTGAACATGTAATTCTCCCCTCCCCCAATTATTTCCAATCATACTTGAGATTTTTGATGCTGTTCCTCTTCTTTTTCCAAGGCCTCCAAATAGTTGACTAGTATTATGTCAAATTCTCATTTTGAGTCAGTACCAAATATATATTCCTTAACTGTGAAGTGGGCTATACTTTTTGTCCAATAAAGCTAGAAATTCGACTGTGACAGAAACCATCCAAAAATCAGATTTCTGCATGTGAAATTCATACAGTATTAAGGGTGGGAAGGATTTTAGACATCCTAACTTATTCATTAGATGAGAAAACCAAGCCCTAAGGTCACAAATCTACCAGTTGGCAGAGCACAGACTGAGACTCAGACACTCTGGCTTCTGGGCCAGTTCTGCTCCACCAAACTTACAAAAAAAATAGTCCACTTGGTTTTCACAGTGACTGTCACGCCTTTGCTTTTAGGTAAATCTCACTGATATGGCTTATTTTCCCCTATATTTCCAGGATAAGGCAGTAAAAGGCAGGCAAAAGAATAGTTTATATCTACTATGCCAGTGAAGAATGAGATACATTCAATTACATGGGTACATTCTTTGCCCAATTTCTGATGTTGAAGTGATGAGGTGTCACCTTTGTTTTCAGGGCACCAGCTACTCCAGTGCAGGTCACTGGGAGGTGGGTTGGGAGGTGGGTTGGGTGGGGAACGAAAGTGAGTGTCTGTGTGTATGGTCTGCAGGTGTTTTCTGTTGAGTTTCTGCCAGGGGAATGTTGTACAAGGGGCAGAGGGTCAGTGGCAGGGTTAGTCTTTGTTTAGAGATAGTCAAGCTATTTAGTGCCTCGAAATTGGAGGAAAAAAAGGGGACTGGGAGACATTTGTGAGTACAGCAAAGAGCGGGAGGCTCTAAGACCAGAAGGAAGCATCCTCCAGCTTCCTAAAGGGGCTCTCAGAACACTGCATTTCCTTCAACTTAGAATGTGGCCACACTCATCTCTCCTCAGAATTCCTCCAGAACAAGACTCACATTTCAGCTTGTTATCTCTTCTTGATTAGAAGATTTAATCCATAGGGAAATCTATTGTCAGTTCAGCAAAGATGCAACCTGGATGAAAAAAATTCAGGAGCTTGGGAGACGACAGAGCAGATGCCATTGAAAAGGGATGACTCCTTGCAAGTAGGTCTGATTTCTGTGGAAGTGTCCTTTGAGCCTAAACTGTAAAGAAGACTTCCTACGGGGAGGTAATACTATGTAACTTTTTGGAAACTGTGGAGTCACTGACATTGGTGAAGATTTCTAATTCCTCTGGGCTCACTGAAGACAATTATTTTCCTTTTTGACCTCAGTCAGTCAAAATAGCTGCACATCCTCGAGTCATGTGCCCTTGTATAACTTGAACTAAATCGTAGGGTTGTAAAATTGATACTGAAAGGACAGCCGATTATTTTAGGCCACAAATATTCCTGTACACTCCAAGTTATGATGCTAGGAGAGGATAGAGAGTGCTGGAAAATGAAAATTTGTTTGAGTCCTTCCCTAAAATGTGGACAGCCACGTCTAACCAAAGGTGGTCTGTGCACCGCTAACTTAAGCCCTGAAGAAAATCAGGATTGGATCAGGATGACCGTGTTATCTTGGGTTTTAAGCCTTCTTTGTTCTTCTGCAGCGCCATTTTGCTTGCTCGAGTCTCTGACCAGGGACAGGCGGGAGCTGGTGATGGCTTGGTGCTGGTGAATTAATGAGCATCCCCTACCCTACCTCCACAGCTGTAAAACCTTCAAAGCATTCACATCAAAGGACTGGAGAACGAAATGCAATAGCTACAAGGACTCCCATTCAAGGGGCAGTTTCATCTGTGTGTATGCCAGGGACAACCTCCCTTTGCCCCCAGACAGTGCCTCCCAACACAAAGAAACAAAGACACAAACAAAAAGGAGCTAGGCAATGGAATGAAATGACACCCAGTAGTGCTGTAGGAATTATGAGAATGAAGCCAGTCAGTCTAATCCTCAAACACTTCCAGGAACAAAGGGGGGAAGAGTTCCGTGGGGCATTCCACCTTCATGTGTAGGAAGCGGCTGGCATGGCAGGCGCCGATCATCCGCAGGTCTGTCACCTTCATCAGGAGTTTTGGCCAAAAGTGTGTCACGTGGTGTTTTCGGTAATTGATATAGTGTTCAAAGGCCAGCAGGAAACTATCTTGGTATTTTTCTATTCTCTCAACACAGGCAAGCCCTGGGCGATCTGAAGGGAAGGAAGAAGATGGATGTTACTTCACAGGTGGAAACAGGCAAGTTTGCCTTCAGGGCCTTTAGGGGGAGGTGGGCAGATCTGGAATTTTTCCATCTTGGTCACGAGCGTGGATGCAACCTGAACTCTAGGGCACCAGGGACCAAGAGACCAGGGTAGTGGTATCATTTCTATGAAGGGCATCAGTGCTTTGTTCAGATAAATATCTCGGTTTAGACAAATGATCTCCTTGGGTGTGAAAGGCAGTGCCTCCCTCCTGGAGTACAGAAAAAAAAGCCTAACACAGCTGAAGTATTCTGCACAAAGAGGGGAGTAATTGTGAGTTTCCACTGGCTGAGTGAGAGAGAGGGGAGGACAAGCATGGAAGGGGAGATGTGAGAAGGGGCGGGGGACATCACGGGAGGCCTGGAGGCCAAAGGAGGAATGTTGGACGATAGGAAATTCTCTTGAAGACAAAGAAGCACCATGCTCACTTTTAAGTTGCTTGCCTAACTGCAATGAACCACCTTTTCCCTTCACTTACACCTTTAGTAACATTGCTACTGGTAGCAGCCTTGTGTTGGTGGCAATTTGGGAAATTAAAATGAACAGGAAAGAGGAGCTCATCCGTGCCAGAGTCACCCCGTGCAGAGAAGAGAACAGCCACATTGGGGGCTAGGGAGAGAGGAGACTATGACCCTGGAAAACCCTGGAAATCTTCCCAAGTCTCGGGCGAACCCCTGGGCTTCCCATGGCATTTGGGAGGGGCTCTCGTTGGTTTCCAACAGGTCATACATAAAGGAATGAGGCTGGACGACTGGGGAAAAGCCGGCCTGCAGACATTTGGGTGATAAAAATAATCTATAAACCTGGATGAGGCCCTCAACTAGCTCTAGGAGGCCTGTCACCCCCCTGTTTGGTTCCCTTCGATTTGCTCTTTGTGGCTGTGAGCAGATGAATTCACATGTCAAGAGTCCAGTTATTGGAGTGTCTATATCAGCAGGAATCTAAATGGAGTTCTGCTTCCTCTGCAAGGAAGGGTCATGGCTAATGTCTCAATCCACCCTTCTGAGTCTGAGCCTGAACAAAAACTATATGGTCTTTTGGAATCCCCTAGTTGGCTCGAATGGCAATTTGTGCCTTTTTTTTTTATTTTGTGTTTTCCTTCGTATTTGATGCTGCTGCTCTGTGGGTCTTCTTACTCCCCCTCTCTCCCTCTCCTATCTTCTCTCTTTCTTCGAGTGTTCAAGAAGGGTTCTCCAAAGCATCCTTTAACTTTTGATCTAAATAGAAAATCAACATAATTGTCCTTTGGATGTGTTCCTTCCAAGGGAAAAAATGACCTGGGTCTTGTGGCATCAAAACTCTGTCCTTTGATGAGAGATAAAGATACAATAGTCATATAAATGACAGAGAGAGAGGATGAACTGACATTTTGATGATGCTCGCATTGTACTAAACAGGTTTATGAAGAGAGACATATTTTAAAGACCAAAGACTGGTTTTAACTCCTCAAGACAAAAATTCTCAACGAAATGTCTTTCAGATCATTTCCAATTTTGCTCCCTCTGCTTATCGTCATAGGACCAAGGAACTCAGTAGTAGCTCTTGGAAAAGGTTTTGAAGAAAAGATCTAAGATATTATGCAACTGAAATGTCAAATAAAACGTGAGACTTAGAAGACAAGGCTGCTGAGGAGGAGAAATTGGAGCCTTGGGGCTCCGATAGGTAGCTGTCATTTGCCAAACGTACAATGTCTTGTACTATTTTTCTGGTCCTGGCAGTATTAATGAAAGGAGCCTACATCACTAGGGTGGATAAGATTTTAATAAGTTATTATGTTGTCCCGTGGCTGTCAGGCAGTGTCATCCTCATACAATGAGAGAACTGGGAAGAAGCATTTACTTGGGTGTTTGATAGCGTTTGGCATTACATTTGCAATTTTTGCCTTCTCCACCTACTCCCTTTATCTATCTTAGATTATTTACTTAATAATCTGTTAAACTGACTCACTACAGAGCAAATATATTATTCAGTAAGAAAAATCCATTTGTTGTAAACAGGAGATAACCACAAAAATGGATGCATGGCATAAACCTTCATTACATTTTAGCTGATGGTTCTTGCCAGAGGTTATGCCTGAGATCCCCTCTCTGTTGAAAGGAAGGTTAGCAAGTGTTAGGTGTTGAAGACAGACCAGCGCCACACAGCATTTCTCTCTTTGCCTTCTTTAGAAGGAGATATAACCAGGAAGAAAATTGTAAAAGAAACTGCTTACTCACTCTGTGATTCAACATTATTTAAAACTGTCTTTGTACCACTAAAATCTCAGCTAAAAAAAAAAATTACTTTGAGTCCCAGTTATGCAGTTCCATTTCTTTATTTTAAAGGTCACCAAAGCCCAGAGAAGCTGTGGGGTGGGGTGGGAGGGAGAAGTCATACAGGGAGTCCTTAGATAAGCTATAAGTTTTATTTTTTTGAGAATAATTCTCTTGAAGGACTGAAGGCCCTGGTTTCTTGCTGGCTGTCACTGGAGGCCACCCTCAGCTCTAGAGGTCATCTGCAGATCCCTGTCACATGAACTTTCCTGACACAGCCACTTACCCCAGGGAGCTGGCATGGAGAGTCTCTAGAGTAAATCTGCTAGCAAGGGGGAATCTCAGATCACATAAAACAGTCACATGGGTCTGATGTTGAATTTGTCATAGTCTCTAATCATGGCTTCTGCATACACTGAAGGTGAGATTATCCAGGTGAGAACACCAGAAGGTAGGAGTATGGGGGGCCACCTTGGAGTGTGTTTACCACAGTGTATGAGAGGGTTCATTATGCTATTCTATCTGCTTATATTTAAAATTCTCCATAATATAAAGAATTATTTCTTTTTAAAAAGCCTGCCATGTCTAAATTTCCTATAGCAAACACATTTCTGGATCAGCTTACAAAAAGAATTCTACTGAGTTAACTAGGAAGCATCAACTCTACAGAGGATTCTCAATGTACTTGTGACTGATATTTTACCCACATATTCAGCCATTTATCCAACAAGCATTTCTTGAATTCTACTACACATTGGCCTAAGTGCTAGGTGTACAATGAGACACATCTATGTCCTCAAAAAAAAGCCCGGCGCGGTGGCTCATGCCTATAATCCTAGCACTCTGGGAGGCCGAGGCTGGCAGATCATTTGAGCTCAGGAGTTCGAGACCAGCCTGAGCGAGAGCAAGACCCCATCTCTACTAAAAATAGAAAGAAATTAGATGGACAACTAAAAATATAGAGAAAAAATTAGCCGGGCATGGTGGCGCATGCCTGTAGTCCCAGCTACTTGGGAGGCTGAGGCAGGAGGATCGCTTAAGCCCAGGAGTTTGAGGTTGCTGTGAGCTAGGCTGATGCCACAGCACTCTAGCCCAGGCAACAGAGTAAGACTCTGTCTCGAAACAAAACAAAACAAAACAAAAGAAATAATTAAAAATAAACAGTCCATAGAAAGATATGGACAAGGTAAGCAGGTAGTTCTAGAGCAAAGTGACAAGTGCTACAGTACAGCTAAACTTAGGGTTAGAGATGGAGGATGACTCTGAAACCATCTTCTATTTAAAGACTAGCCTCCCTGAAAATGTGATGTGTTTTGTATTTCTTATTTATTACGACATGATGCCTGAAGAAAAAAAGCATCAGTAGTATTATTTACCCTTCACCAATGGGACTTAGAGGTTTTTGATAAGGAGCTATGGTGGATTAAAGATGGCTACCGATTCTTTGCTGTTCCTCCCATCTAGGGGTGGACTGTTGAATCTGGCTGGTGCTCAGACTTGATTGGACCAAAGCAATGTGGCTGAAGTGATGCTGTGTGACTTGACTGGGCCTTAAAGGATCTACAACTTCTGCATTCCTGTGCTTAGGACTCTCCCTCTTGGAATCCAACATCCAAGTAAAAAGTCTAGCTACCCTACAAGAGGAGAGGGTGCATGGAGAGAGAGCTGAATTTGTGTTTGATGTCTCAGCCCCAACTCCAGCCATCTTGGATGTTTTAAGCCACTAAGTTTTAGGTTGGTGTGCTATATGGCAATAGATAACTGAAACTTAGGTTGTAGTTGAGCCATGAACAAATTCTAGTTCTCACACATGGTTTCCATACACAGAATTTAACATGGAATGGTGTGGTCATCCACATACATGTGTTGCACACTCCAAACCAGAAGGAGGAGGCAGTTGGCCAAAAACTATGGAGCAGGCTGGGTAGTGTCCACTGAAGGTGGATCATTTCATAGAGTCTTTAATGTCTCCTTTGGTTTCTCCCTGCTACTCTTGGAGGCTGCAAAAAGCATAAGACACTTGACACTTCCCCCCCACCTTTAGACCCCAGTCCATTGGAGAACCCCCAATTTCTTGCTAAAGTAGAATGAACTATTTTTCTAAACACCAAAGGGGGATTAAAAAACTCATCAGGTGATTGGAATTAACAAGGGACAAGCAAAAACTCTTTGGATGCCCAGTAATGAGTCTGGGCACACTCACCTGATGACATCAGCAGGACGGCCTGAAGGAGGGCTACTTCAGTGTCATCCAGGTTGAAAGAAGACAGAGACATGCCCAGGTCAAAGATGGCGTCAGACACCACCCCAAGACCCCCATTCTTCAGCTGGCCCCGTGTCACTGCCATTTCCCCATTCAAGGTTAAAGTCTCACTTTCTGGGTCATAGCGCACAGCAGCGCGGAGGGACATGATCTCCATGCAGCAGCCTTTGAGGAGGATTATCTGGTCTTCACATGGCAGCTGAAAAGAACCAGCTCACATCAGCAAAGAACAAGTGGACACATGCCTGTCAGGAACAACATGCAGTATCTTAAAAGCAACAGGAATAACCTTGTGGGATCGAGATTAGTCCTGCATTTTTTGAGCCCATGGTTTTTCCTTCCCTGCTTGGCTGTAGGCTTTCGACAACCATTTTTCATACCCCAGGTTGGCTGGAATGTTCACCAACTTTAATCTCAGTAGTCTTCATTTCTTTAAGATAGATATAGATCTCCAATTGGTAGTGCAGTCATGTGTGGAAATGTGATAATAACCCTTTAGTCTGGGGGTATTTTGGGGGTATCAAAACTCCAACTGATAACTGCTTGAGATGAGGGTTTATGTTAAACTCACTAATTTTTTTTTTTTTTGTCTTGTAGCTCCAATAGTTAATACCTGACTCCACTGTTTAGTTGCCAACTTCTCTTTATTTTTTTGAAGAAAGTTTGCTCTTTGAGCCTCTTAAAAGGCGCAGAAGTAGAAGGTTGCTGACCAATGCATGTTACCCACGAGGCCCAGAGATATACAAGCTTTGCCCGAGGACAACCAATTAGTTAAGCACAGAAGCAAGATCAGAATTCAGACCTGCTGGATCCTAAGGCTATGTTTTTCCTTCTCACTATCTCAGACACTGGAATTACTCGACACACTGAATCCTTCTGCCAGTGTCGCGATCTCATCTTAAGCTCATTTGGTTACCCTGTTAATTAGGATTTGTGATAATGTGATAACATTAATAATAAACTTTTTAAAAAAAACTTCATTGATAGGTAAAATAATAAAAAAACAGAATCTCATTTTCTGGAGGGGGAGAATGTCTAATGAAATGCCATTATCAAAATAATTTGAAAGGCTATTAGTTAATGGGTATTTTTTTTATTTTTTTTATTTTTTATTTTTTTGACTGCCCTATGCAATGGTAAGTTAATGGGTATTTTGATAAATTGGGCATCATGCCAAGATTTACGTGCGTCACCTGATTTAATCTCCACAGCAATACAGTGGAGTAAATATTCTAATTCCAATTTTACTTACAGATGTGGGAGCCCGGACACTGATATGGCAACATGCTGGGGGTGGGGGTGGGGGAGGGAGGCTGTCACATGAATGTTTTATGGGTGAGGTTAGGATTTGAAGCTAGAATCCAATGCCAAGAAAGGAAGAGAACATACTTTTTTGAAGTACCATGGATATGACTAAGTTCCCATAAATAATGAATATGTAAATTACACATAATCTCTATCTCTTGATTAAAGCAGTTACAAATTCCTTTTGGGAAATGCTCTTGGCAATACTCGACTGGTCCAATTTAGGTTATTATATAAAAGTGAAAGTAATACTACTGAATTACATTTAAAATACTGGGTATTTCATATTTTTTTCACTAGCTCAGCCAAGTCACTTTTCCATCTAATTTCAAATTGCTTAGCTTTTTCTACAGAATAAAAGTCATTGCCTACTTGGTTTTGAAATCAACACATATAAATTCTCCCTTTCCAACCCATCTTTTTGAAAGAGCACTGTGATTTGCTTTTGTTTAGGTTCAGATTTGTACCCCTCAGTTATATCCTTGGATTCTTGGCCCAAAAGCGAGGTAGGAAATAGGAAACTCAAGTGTGGACAGATTCTCTACAGGTGAGATGGGAAACTGGCTGGAGAGGGAGAGGTTGGCTCTGAAGGCTAGGGCAGTTGATCTACATTTCAACCCCACCAGGATCTCCTAGGGGCTCATTCAACACAGACTGCTGGCCCCACCCCCTGAATTCTGAATTTCTCCCAAGTTCCCAGGTAGTCCGCATGTTGCTGCTCCCCGGACCCTACTCCTGAGAAAGACTGGCCTAGAAATTTCTAATCAGATCAAACCATTTTTTTTTTTAAATCTGTCACTATACAAACTTTTGGGCAATGCCTACCTTTGAAGCCAAGTCTGATTGTAGATGAAGTGGAAATTTTCATTTCACAGCCTACTAACTGTTGATGATTAGTTCAACTTCAAGTAAAAGCTGAATAAGTATTTGCAAAGGGTCTCCAGTGGTTTAAAAACTGGGCCAGATACTTTGTCCTTTAAGAGAGGTTTGTAGGATCCTGGTGAGATTTGTTTCAACATGTGGGCAAATACTCTCTTGTGCACTTGCCAAAATGCTTTCACTGTAAGAAGCCCCGACAAGGGCCTGAGAGACAGAGACCAGGGATACGCCCACAATTTCTTCCTGTCTCCTTAGAGGAACGTCACTCAGGTTGATTGGCAAAGACGACAGGGCCTTGCACTCTAGGCGTGGTTCTTGTGTGTTGTTTTGGCAGCTCTGCCAGCAATGATTTTAGATCTCATGAAGCCTCTGGTGTCACTCCAACCTTGTTTGGTGGGCTGGCATGGATCTTAGCAGAACAATTGCCAAGAACACAATTTGAACAGCAGATGTATCAAACTGCCTCTGGCAAGAGACCATTAGCTCCCAAGACCACCTGAAATCTCCAACCCACTCCCTAGGTAGCTCAGGGGCCTACATAGTTCATTACCTTGTTCTGGGTTTCAAAGAGAGTATAAAAGGCTAAAAGGTTCCTGGGAGACAACAAACACTGGAAACATATACATCTCTGCCCTCCCCCTTCATAATTTGGAGACCACAAAATATCAGGGTTGAAAGAGAGATGGAATCATGACAAAGAAGCAGGCTTCAACTTCTAAGGAAAACTTGAACAGATAAGCTGGCCACAGCCCAAGCTTGAAACCTTCCATGTGGACCCCTCACTCTTGCCGTGGACAAGAGCTTCAGCCTTATGGTATGTGTACTTTACTCTAATAAAAAGTTTAAAAAAGTAGTTTCATAAATAGAAAGTACATTCTGGCATAAATTATACTAATATACATTTCATAGTTCATATACATTTATGTGTGTATGTGTTTGTAGCTGGTATAAATTATATTAATATATATTCAATATTTCATATATATGTGTGTGTATACACACAAATATTTGAAAAAAGACTAAAATGGGCTCCAAAATATTAGCAGTATTATCTTGTGGTGTTGCCATGAATCATTACATTTATTATGCCATATAAATCTTCGATGACCATGTATCATTTTTGTAATGTACTCCAAAATGTTAATAAATGTTAATTTTTATAAAAGATATCCAAGGTACGGGAAACTCCACACCAAAACCAAAATTCCTTCCCAGGACTTAGTGACTTCTCTAGGCATGGAATATGAGTCTTTCCCACTGCAAGGCTGTGGGTACTATAGACTGGTACTACAGAATAAAGGTTTGTGTCCACCCAAATCCACATGTTGCAACCTAATCCCTGATGTGATTAGGAGGTGTATTGGAGGTGGGGCCTTTGGGAGGTGATGAGGTCATAAGGGTGGGGCTTTCATGAATGGGATTTGTGCCCTTATAAAAGAGACCCCAGAGAGCTCCTTTGTTCCACTCACCATGTGAGGACACAGTGAGAAGACAGCTGTCTACGTACCAGGAGGCAGGCCCTTCCTTACCAGACACCTAATCTGCCAGTACCTTTCTCTTGGAATTTTCAGACTCCAGAACCATAGGAAATAAATTTCTGTTGTTTTTAAGCCACCCAGTCTATGGTATCCTGTTATAGCAGCCCAAGACACCTGGCCCCCACCACAGTAAAACTAGGGCTCAGAGAGAGGCAGTGCACTCTCTTGGTGAGGTCTGGGAGTCGGGTACCTGTGTCCTGAAGCCCACTGCCCTGTCCTCCTGGGTATGGCTTCCATGGGGGCTCAGAAATTGGCAATGAGAAGTGTCCCCATTAATGTCTGAGGTCTTTCTGATTCCAGCTGGGCTCCTGTTATTGCAAACTCAGAGATACAAGTGAGCTGGAAGCGAAGGCAGCAGGGAGTCATTTCAAGTGAGAAAACTCAGCTTTTTCCCAGGTGAGACTAGAACCACTTATCACTCAGGCAGCATATAGTAAGAGGCTCATAGCCATACGTGGTCCTCTCTATTTGGTATCTTTTTGGGTCCCCTTGAGAGTGTAAGAAGCAATAGATTGGCACCTGATAAAACTTTCCAAAGGAAAAAGTTCTCAAGAAAACATAATCAACACCATTTGATTCAAAAAAAGGAGGGCTAGAGGCAGGATGGAAATGTCATAGATGAAATAATGGCAGCATTAGCAGCTCAACTCATGGAATACTCATGACCCAGGCACTGTCTAAGCACTTTACATATGTTATCCCATTTAAACCTCCCAATAGCTCCCAATAGAGGTAGGCACTATTGTGATTCCCATTGTAAAGATGAGGTAACTGAGTTATGAAGACATTAAATAACTTGTTTAGGATTCTTGTCCAGGCACGGACTGCAGAACCTGTGCCCTCCTGCCAACATGTGGTAGGTGAGGGAGAAAATGTCCCAAAGCGAAAGTCAATGAGGTCGGGTGGGACAGCTCTGAAGATGGGGCAAGAAGGAGTGAGCTTACGAGAAAAGAGGGAAGATTTAAGGAGATATTAAGAGCCTTCCTTTGTGAAAACCATTTAACTTATTCTTGAGGATTAGGTAGTGACCACACCGCCATCTTGCTGGGATATGTGGTGGGAAGGATACAGACCTAGGTTCAAACCATGGCGCCACATTTGGGTGGGGTAACTGAATCTCTTTAATCTTCATTTTCCCCATCTGTAAAATGGAGTTATTAAAAGCTATCCCGAAGATCTGTTATAAGGATTGGGTTTAATGTGGGCAAACTCGAGTATGGTAACTAGGACATCGAAGGCGTGGAATAAATGGAAGCTATTGTTCCATCATTATTTCCCAATGCCTAGAGTGAGAGGGGTGGATGGGATCTTGATGGGCCTCACATGGACAAGCTAATGCGTGATGACTGAATAGAGAAGGTGGGACATACAAATGAAAGAGAGTGCATTTTCATTTTGTACTGACATTGCTTTCATATGACTAAGTCCCTACTAATGAATATTAAATTATAAATAATACCCAGTATTCCTGGAAACTGACGGAACTCTAATGAAAAATAACGCAGATGAAAAAACAGTTTCCTCACCTCACAAAACATAGGCAACTTTTTGGCAAAATCCACCACTCTGGTAATTGCTGGTGTGATGATTTTTGTAAAATGGCTGAAGGCTTCCAAGTCGACCTTTCCACCTTCTGGGGCATTCACTATCGGTGCTTGTCCAATGTCTTCTGGCTAAAGAGGAGAAACAAGGAAGATTTTAATGAAGAAGTGGAAGAGAGCTTTATTTATCGTAGTTCTCACGTGGCAGAAAATCTCTTCTGAACTGGCATCCTGTACAGTCTCCGGTTCTCACATCATTTATTCACAGACTGTAGTTTATACATCATTTATGTCTTTGAGCAAAGATACATGTCTTGGCCATTGCTTTAATAGGCCCCCAGTGATAATGTTCACAAGAATGTTGTTGGAGAGAGAGAGAGAGAGAGAGAGAGAGAGAGAGAGAGAGAGAGGGAGGGAGGGAGGGAGAATGAAGAATATGTGGGTTCTGCTTCTGAACGCACAGAGTATACTTAGGCCAGGTGACATGCATTCCTGGGCCTCTGGGGTGGCATTTGCAGAGCACTGCATATTCTGGCGTGTGTCCGTAAGTGGGAGGTGGGCCCAGCAGGGGCAGTGATGGAGGAGGGCGATGGGCGAGCCCTTGCAAGTGGTGCCCTGTGGATCCATTCTTGCTCCGGATCCAGCTGTCAGGGCTCAAAGTTCCTCTCTGCCCTACAAACTCCAGTTTGATGGTTGACAGGGAAGTTCTCTAGGCTGCCTATAGGAAACTTAGCAAGTCTTAGGACAGAGTGGCGAATTCAATGTCCCCAGAGCACTTCTCTGCTGTTTCCTCGCTCAAGAACAATCCATGGCTTTGCTGCTCAAAGGCTGGGGCAGCAGCACGGGTGTCACTGGGGACTTATTAGACATGTAGACGCTCAGGCCCCTCCCCAGGCCTGATGGGGAGAATCAGCATTTTAGCAAGACCCCAGGTGACTTGTGCACACATTAGGCTTCCTGATGTCCATGGGAGTCTCCTTCAATGCTGTGACCTGCTGTCACTCAGTGCTTCCTTCAGGAACAGTCCTCTCCACTGCCCCTTCTCATCTTTGTGATAATATTACCCACCATTTATTTGTGGCCTACGAGTGACGCAGCCCCTTCACACACTGCCCTGCCTCAGGCAGAGCTCACTCAAGTCCTGGTGTGCAGGTGAGCAGACCAGGGCTCAGGAAGGTTAAGAGCGAGCCGCTGAGGCCAGGCCTGGGGTCTGGGTGGCCCTGACTCCCCACAGCCATGTGCCCAGGAGCTCCACGTCTCCCCACAAGGCCTTTTTTTTTTTTGAGACAGAGTCTCGCTTTGTTGCCCAGGCTAGAGTGAGTGCCGTGGCATCAGCCTAGCTCACAGCAACCTCCAACTCCTGAGCTCAAGCGATCCTATTGCCTCAGCCTCCCGAGTAGCTGGGACTACAGGCATGCGCCACCATGCCCGGCTAATTTTTTCTATATATATCAGTTGGGCAATTAATTTCTTTCTATTTATAGTAGAGATGGGGTCTCGCTCTTGCTCAGGCTGGTTTCGAACTCCTGACCTTGAGACCAGAGAGCTAGGATTACAGGCGTGAGCCACCGCACCCGGCCTCCCACAAGGCTTCTACTTCCTGTACACTTTTCGACATGGGCGAACAGAATTTCCACTTTCTTAACACCCCCCTTGCCAGCTTCTCCAGCTGTCTTCCAGGAAAATGTGAACGTGCCCAAGGAGGTCACAGAGACTCATGCACAGCCTGCTGGTGGCCGCCTTCGCCTGGAGCCACAGTGAGTGGACAGGAACGAGGTCAGCTCTCCTTTTGGCACCGGGAGTTGGGGGAGAGGGAGAGGAAAGTGGGGCAGGGTGGCCGGGAGGGGTGGAAACAAGGAACTGACATTCTGAGACAGTCGAGGGAGACCCACCGCCTCACTTCAGAGCAGTGAGGTCACTGCCCATGGGGAGACGTTGGTCTGACACAGAGGTCCCCCGGGCACACTGTGCATCAGAGTCACTCGATTGCTGGGTCCCATGCCCAGTGTTTCTGACTCAGGAGGTCAGCGGTGGGGCCCAAGGATTTGCATTTCTCACAAGTCCCCAGGGCATGCCGACGCCACTGGTTGGGACCATACTTTGAGAACCACTGCGCCGGCAGTAACCAGAGGTGGCTCAGTAAGCCAGTTACCATGTTTCTTCCCATACACTCCATATCCAATTTTTTTAGCAGGAAGAAAAGCAAATGATGATTCTTTTACTCTCTTATTGCCAGGGTGCTGGGGTCATGGTTACAGGCCCAGGGGAAGATTTAAAAAAACATATTACATAACAAACGCTGGCAACATTTGCCTTTTTGGGGATTATCCAGCAATTTCTTCTGTTTATTTTTTTACTTTATTTTTTTAGTGTTTGTTTTGGTGGCAGTGAGTGGATGGAACCTGGTTTCTGTTGTGTTTTCATAATGAATGATGATGTTTTGGGGCAACTGTTGGCATAGCAAGCCCACAGACGGTTACTGTTCCGCTGTCCTTCTGGATGCAGAGAGAATTGATGGAATAATCACATGTACGCCTCCCTTCTCTCTCCCTCTTTCTCACCTACATGGAGCTAAGGGAAAAGGTACATCCAATCCTCCTTTGGGTACTGTGCTCCCTGTATCCTTCAGACATCCCTGCTGTTCTTTATAGTTTCTTCTGACCCCTGAATGTGAGGCTTATCTCTCCTACCTAGTCTACTTGACAAGTCTGTTGTGAAGCTCAGCTGATAAAAGGAATGTGGGCACACATTCAAAAAGGTAGGGGGTTTTATATAAAAATTATATACATATACAAAGCTAATATTATATATTATATATGATTTTTATATATATATGTAGGATGAACATTATTTTAGCAATAAAAAAATAAACATATTTGAATAATATGGTTTTGGCCTGGTTGAATCCAAACATATCCTCATTGCATACTGATAAGGCTGCTCTGACTGGATTTATATGGTTTTCAGTCCTTTGAAATGTTGTTGGGTTAATACTGATATTAATAATTTTCATTCATCTGTAGGTACATGGGGCATTTGAATCACTACCTCTAAAGATTTGAAAAAAGGATAGAAATTGTGCAAGGGAAATATGGCAATTTTAATTAAAATTAAACACCTAAATGTAACAACCTCACAAGCTTTTCTGTTAAAAAAATAGATCAGGGTAGAAAAAAATTTACTTTTGAACCTCTGGGTATTTATTTAATGGCAAATACAATTGCTAGAAGTCAAACTATATACAAACTATATAAAAGCTTTCTGTTATATCATTAAGGTTTATCTCCATAATGGATCTTGGATACCAGAACAACAACAACAAAAAGAATATCTATATCTTTATATATCCATGAGCTGACCTGAGTTAATGCCAACCTGGGTATGAGAAGTCAAGGTTGAGCAATGCAAACTTGTTGGTTACTTCCCTAAAGATTTTTCACTCATAACGACAACACATAATATGTTAAAATATTTGGAAGATGTTAAAAATAGAGAACAAATATTTGACATCAGTTCCATCTATCAGGTATCATATACAACTAATAACCTTGTAAACCACCACATGAAATACATTTGCTCATATACATGCATGTGTATTTATGCACCCAGGATCTAGCTCAGATTCTGGCAAGTCTCCAGCTTGTAGATTCACCAGGACAGACCTGTGGCAGAAGCCTGCTTTTTAGCCTCTGTGGATCCAGCTGCCTTAGCCTGCTGATGGGGTACTCACAACTCCACTCCGACTTCCTTCCTCTTTGTCCTAAATGGACCTCCTGTGCCAGCCCAGCTGACTTCTCCATGTCTGCCTTCCAGCTTGCCTTGCCCTATTCCACTTCGCTGCTGCCTGCTTTCCAGATTTTTGCTTTCTCTGAAGCCTCTACTTCCATTTCTCATCTCTGTCCATTCCTAATCCCACCCTTTCTTCAAAACTCAACTCAAATTTTAGCTTCCCCTGGATGTCTTCCAAGAGGACCTCAGTTTGAAATGATGTATACCTCATTTGATCACCCATGTATGTCACCCATATGGCATTTAGGCATTTATCACTGTCACTTTTTATTGTAGTTTTGTGTAAACACACAACAAAAATATGAACTTCTTAAGGGAGTAGGGAATAAGCCTCACGTCTTCGCCTACTGTGTACAGGGCATTGAGCTGAATGGTGGGGGATGAAATGCCTGTTGGTTGAGTGAGTGAATAAATGTGTGTTTATATCAATATTTATTGAGCAAGTACGATGGTCCAGGCCTAGTCTTAGATGCTGAGGTTACACCGATGAACAGTGCATCCTCAAGGAACTTGCATCGTAGCTCACAGACAATGAATAAGAAACATGCATTCATGGAGTGCCAGTTTATGATGAGACTGGGGGTGACATGATAGTACAGCGGGGTCCAGAGATGAGTGGTCAGCCAAGGCCCCTTTTGGGAAGCAATGTGTGAGCGCTGACTTGAAGAACATCAAGGAGGAAGCCTTTCATACAGCCAGAGGAAGAATGGTTAAGGCAGAGGGAAAAGCCAGTGTGAAGTCTCAAGGCCAGAAAGGAGGCTATGTGGCTACAGCCCAGCGATGGCTTGAGAGGAGGGGGGAGGCAGGCAGGGGTCCCGGCATGCTAAGCTCGTGCACCATGAAGAAGAGAAGGGCTTATTCTAAATGCAGTGGAGTGTCACTGAGGGGCTGTCAATGGGAAGAGGTTATTAATGGTTATTGTGTGGAGAAGGGATTATTGTGGGGGGGCCAAAGGACAAACAGGCAGGCACCAGAAGTCATTTGGGCAGGCTGGAGTGGGCCAGGCTGTGGGGGTGGCAATAGAGAGGGAGATATATTGGAGATGTATCTTGGGGACTGAAGACAGGGGCAGAGGAGGGACTGGATGTGGGGTAAGGAAAGCAGAGAGGCCCCTCTGGGGCAGTGGTACAAAAGGAGAGATTCAGGTGTGTGTCCCTGTGCCATCAGCTCTCGCTCAGTGTGTGACTGACTGGCTTTCTTCTCTGACTGTTTCATCAGTATTGTTCAAAGTGAGTAGGGAATGCTGCCAGTTGGCTTCTTCACTGAGTGGCTGGCTAACAGCCAAGGACTTCTTGGCTTGAAAAGGTAGTTGTTTGGCACGTGCAGAGTGGGGTGGGGCCAGACAGGACTCTCCCCTCCTCTGCTTGTTCCTAGGGTGTCTTCTCACACCTTTGCAAGGCTGGGCAGGAAGACCCGGCAGGTCGTGATTCAAGGTACCTGGGCCTTTGGACATGAGTGCAGGCTCATCCTTTTCCTGGGATGAGCAGAAATAAAATGGTGACATCGGTGACGGTAGTAACCACTTAAGTGGTTAACGATATACCCAGCAGCGTTAGATCACCTATATTACTTTATGCCATTTGTAAGGGCGTAAGGCAACTGAGCCTTAGAGAGGTGAAATAACTTGCCCAAAGCCACACAATGATAAGAGCAACAGAGGCAAACACTGAACCCAGGCTGTCTGGTTCTAATACCTACTCACTGCCTGCTAGCCTACCCTGCCTTCTTCTGATGTGATTATAATAACTTTGGGGGACATATGCTTCCTGACTTGATCGCACTTGTCCCATGACCTGTCCACATAGACCACACACAGCCAAGACCACCCACCCTGCCAGACCCATCTGCACATGGCCCCTTGTCTGACGCTACCCCAGTTGAGAATGTGTGGAAGGAGACAGTAGCTCTGCCAGGGAAAATGAGGGCAGGCTACTTCTAAAGGTCACATTTTATACTTGGGTAGAAAATTCATCCAAAGCCACACCTTTGCATGAGAACTAAGGAAGCAGAATAGTGATACAATGTCAACAGGCAATAATAACACAGTGTCTGTAGACAAGATTGTGGCTGGTATGGGGTTTACGCCAAACCAAATGTCTCCCTGCTCCTGGGAGGCACAGAAGGGAGTTACCCTTGGTGGGGATACCTGCTTTCCCTTGTTTGGCACCAGATGCTACTTGTTTCCTTCACAGCCACTTCTCCTTTTCATGGTCACTGTCGTCACACATGAATTGCTGGTGGTGGAACTGCACATTTCTGCAGTCTCAGAATTCTGATTCGAGTAGATTTGAGAAAACTAGAAAATTGTATGATTTCAATGTCTTTGGAAGTCGTCTTAGAGAGTGGCTTTAGAATTACTATGAAAGTCTGAATGGCTTTTGCAAAAGTTCCTCATTTGCCAAAGACTCTAATTTTCTCAGGCCCAAATATAGATTTAAAACCCAACGCAAACCACTGTCTCTACTTCTGACTTGAGTCCTGGTCTTAGGGTGAAAAATGATGAAGTAGCTCCTTTTGGGGAATAAGCTACTTACCCGTTCCATATAAAGGAATACTTCTGGCTTTTATGACAATGTATAATTTTTAATCCCATATGACATATTATTATACTATTATTAACATAATAGGGTTCCTCAACTTCTTTCTCAGAAAAAGATGGGACATAAACATGTAAAAATAAATGAAATAACACATGTAGCAGTGTTGCAAGTCCAAAAAAGGGGTATCAGCTTCACAGGAGATGCAAATCCTAAAGTGTAAAAGCCTATTCAGTACATAGGTACCTTTTGGTAACTGAATACCATTTGGCAAAGCTGTCTTTAAGTAAAGATTCTTAATATCCTTGCAGGATGAATTCACTACTCAGAAGAGTGATATTTTCATCCTGAGCATAAATACCCAAATGGAGTCACCTTTCTGCAAAAATCATGTGTAAATATGTAAACTGGCTGAGACACAGGGCTTAAGTGTACTGTCTCCAAGGATGGGTGAATGGAACTGTATGTTCACTTTAACAAATATTTATTGAGTTCTGTTCTGGTTATCTATTGCTGTGTAACAAACTACCCCCAAGCTTAGTGGCTTAAAACAACAATGTTTTATTATTTCTCAGAGTTCTGGGGATTGATGGGCACAGCTGGGAGGTTCTTACTAGGGGTCCCTTATATGGTTGCCATCAAATGGCAGTAGAGGCTGGTATCATCTGAAGGCTCATATTTCTGGTGCTTGGACAGGTTGGGAACCTCTCTTTCTACATGACCTCTTTGCATGGCTAGCTTGTGCTTCCTCACAACATGGCGGTCTCAGAGTTGGGCTTCTTTACAAAGCCAACTGCTATGAGAGACCAGGTGACTTCCCCCTCCAGCAGACCCAAGTGGAAGCTGCAAGGCTTCTTATGACCCAAGCTTAGAAGTCACTCAAGTAACACTTCTTCCAAAATCCATTGCTTAATGGGATCACAAACCAGCATATGCCCCGAACATATTAGGTTAGAATTGGTCTACTGATCCAGAACTATTGTTTTTGAATTTCCTGGCAAATATACCAGGGTAGGGGTGAAGATGCAAGATCAAGGCACTAAGAGGCTGCTCCTCCAAAGAGCTTGTGTCTTTTTGGGTTTGAGTTTGAGTCTGCACAGAGTAGTGGGCAAGGGCACAGGCCCTGGAGCCTGCTGCACCCATCACCACTACTTACTAGCTGTGGGAACTCAGGAGAGTTTCCTTAACTTCTCTGCCTCAGTTCTCTCTTCTCTAGAATGGAGATATGAACTGCATCTACATATAGGGTTGGTAGAGGGAGTTAATGTAAGAAAAGCACTTAGAATAGTACCTGGCATATAGTAAGGCCCATCTAAGTATTTGCTAACATTGCCATTAGTAGAAGCCATCAACAAAGTGCTGGCATTATTGTTACATGACTACGAAAGTAATTGAAAGAGCAGGTGTATTATGAGCAAGCTTTGTCTTTCCAAAATTTCCTTTAAGGTTGTTGTTATATCGTTTTAACAACAACAAAAACCCCTATCTCATTATAACGTTGATGTTGAGGTACGAGGATGATTATGCCACTATATCTTCTTGCACAGATGGGTAAGTTCTCTAGTGTCCCCTAGGGATACAACTGGACCCACGGAACATGTGATGCTGGGCTCAGTGAAGCACTCATATAGGGTTTCATGTCATAAACTAAGAGCAGGGTCAGTCCCTGAGATGTCACACAGCAGTTGGGGCAGGCAGCCCATCTTCCAAGGTGAGTGGAGAGCCTGCACATGGAACCACAAAACCTGAGTTGGCTTTTGGGTCTAACTTTTAGTCGTGTGATCTTGGGCAAGCCACTTAAGGCCTTGGGCTTGGTTTATATATCTATAAAATGGGGATAGTAATTCCAGCCTACCTCATAGCACTAGGAAGTCTAACTGAGAAATGAATGGGGTGGGCTTTCACCACTGTTAATTTTTAAAAAAACATTAAACATCCATATTCTAAGGGTCTAGAAAAGTCTATTTTCTCTACACATTCCCCCGCCCCAACTCCCCTACCCCATTACCCTATGCACATTGTCTTCCTAGACTCAAGCTTGTTTATTTTAAGCTTAAATTTTGACTTCTATTGATATAAAAAATATACTTGAGGTATGGGACATTTCATTCTAAAGGAGGTATTTTGGAGTGACTTTAGAGGACAAAATATGCATATACTGGGCATCTGAGGGAAGATATGGCTATAAAAAGGAAAAGATGGCAGGTAAAACATTTTACTAATTAGTTGGTCCAGGACTAGTCAAACTAAGATTATGTGGCCTAAGAAACTGCTTTAGAATGCGGTAGGAGAGGCCTTTGTCCTCGTACAGACTTGGATTCAAACCCTGGCTCTGCAAGTTACTGGACCTTTCAGAGCTGCAGTTTTCCTATCAATAGAATAAGACAATAACACAGTACCCTGGGGTTATGAGGACTTAATGAGTTGAGGTAGAAAAGAGCTGGCACTTAAACTGACACTGAGCTGTTTAAGGAAGCCTTACCAGGAATTTCCGCTTCTGCTTCCAGTGGCTGCCTTGGGCATTGGTGGCCACGTGGGCTTCAGTGACAGTTTTGATAAGCTCCCATTCCTCGTCCGTGGGCTCCGGCTTGTGGCCGATGGATTTCTGCAGCTCTTCCCGCCGTCTCTTCTCCCGGTTCTCCTCTATCAGCTTCCTCTTGGCCAGCCTCTTGCTGTCATCCAGCACCACTGGGAGGAGGAGAAAGGTGAGCGAAGGCACACAGATAGTCCTGAGGCCTGTGGCAGACCACAGTGCTGGAGCCCCTGGGGTGGGGGCCACCAACACACAGGTGGCTCGTGGGTCTTGTGGGGTGGGTCACACTGGGGCATTCCCCTCCTCACCAGCAGGTTGCCGTTGACCAGACATTGTACGACACGAGCCCTGGTGCCAAACTCCCCACACCCAGCCAGCTTTTCAAAACAGAGCCCTGAGGGGACTTGGTCACTGGGCACCCCAGCTCCACAGAGGGTGGCCCTAAGACAGAGCGAGGTGAAATCCACACTATCTGCAGGATCACAGATAAATCTGTCTAGTGCGTCAACGCATTCTCTCTCGGGATTTCTGTCCTCCCTCCTCCCTTAAAATGGTGCTTAGGAAGGAGAACCTCATGTTAAAGAAAAGTTACGGAGCAGGAGGTGGGAGGCTCATGATCCCTTCCTCAGAGGAGAAAAGACCCAAACTCTTCATGGCTCCCCTACGGGCTACTGGCTTTGCATTGCTCTCTGCCTGGTCAACCGCCAGTGGCAGTTACGGAGCTCAGGCTGTGGAAGCTAGAAAGACTTGGGTTTGAATCCTGATACCATCACATGGTAGCTGTGTAACCTCTGGCAAGTTCCTTAGGCTCTCTGAGCTTTCATTTCTTCCTGTATAAAATGGGATCAATAATACCCATTTCACAGGGTATTCAGTGTTATAATGCACTATAAATGCTCAGTAAATGTAGTCATGACTTTTACCTTTGGGCAAATGGAAAATAAGAAGGGCAGGTAGCAAGAAAACTATATTTCTATGGTTAATTTCCAAAACAAAACCATTTCACTAGACTTTTAGTAACTATCAATGGAATAGAAAGGTTCGGGTTTTAAATTAGAGTCATAGTATTTTAGAACTGGAAGAGACCCTAGATATTATCTAGCCTAGCTGTCTCCTTTCACAGAGGAGGAAATTGATCCAGAGAGGTTGTGACTTGCCTAAAGTCACACAGCAAGTTACTGGCAGAGTCAAAGCAAGGCCCAGGACTCCTGACTCCAGTTCTATCACATCATTGTCCTAGGGCCATTTCTTGATGAAGGTGTGACCTGGCAGGAAAAGATAAAAAAGCAGACATAGCAGGAGGAAGAGAACCAAAGTGCCCAGCTGATCCACAAATAGAATGCTAAATTCCAGGTCACCTAGATTTGATTGGATTGTCAAAGTCATGTGAGCATCTACAAGTGTGGACAATATGAGTGAGTTAAGTGATTTTGGTTCACTTACTAAAAGGAGAGGAGGAATAGGTAATCACATGCCTAGCCCCATTTTCCCCAGTGCTTCCAGGGAGCCAGGGAATGTTGCATTTGATGTGCGTTATCTAATTTAATCTTGAAAACAACCCTACAGGGCAGCAATGATTTCACAGAAGGGAAACCTAGGGCTTAATTCTGAAGGTCACACAGCTACTAAGTGACCGATCTGGGACCCAAACTGGAGTTTTTCTGGTTACAGAGCCTGAGCTCTTATAATGCCTCGCAAGCAAGTAAGGGGCCCTATTCCACATAGAGCTATTTCCTCACAGTCTAGATTAACACTGGAGTTTTTTTTTTTTTTTTCCACTTCATAAACACTCACATCTTAAACTTCAAAATAAAACAGTGAGATGGATCTTCAACAATACCACTTCATTATAGTGACACATCTAAGCATTTGGCTCTAAGTCAATCATATTCACCTATCCTCCTTAGGCATATTGTTGGCAAGGGCTGGAAGCCTTTAAAAGATAAAGAACAAACTCAGCCAGAGGTTGGGACTAACCCAGGATTTCCAGCCTAACACCTTAACACACCCTCTTCCTTTTTCAAGATTCTTCATTCTGTCTTCTTTAATAGGACATGAAAGGACATTACACACATATTATTTTGTTCTTGCTGAAAAAACATTATCATATAAATGTAAGCCATGATTATTTCCTTTCATCAGGAAAAATCCTCATTGCATTTTCTTTTTTTCTTTCTTTCCTTTTTCCTTTTCCTTTTTTTCTTTTTTAGCTAACAGTTGGAATCTTTCACTAATGTGCAAAAAATTTATGCCAGTAGAAACCACTAACACTGATGCCTGGCAAAAGGCAGGCCACACATTCTGAATGACATGATTCTTATTTTTAAGGTTAGATTAATTAAAGTGACTGGTGTACATTTCTTGCACAGTGTGGGAAGAAGAGACCCCAGGGCTAACCTCACCAGCCTATGCTGTAGCGCTTTGAAAACTGGGTAGGACAACTTCAGCTGGGAATGTCTTTATTGCTAAATATAGAACAAACAACCAACTGCAGGATGACTCATGCAATAGCACTCAACTCTGCATTCTTCAGAAATTTCTGAACACGATGTTTTCTGCCAATGCCCCATCTCCACAAATGTCCATGAAATGAATTCCTGTCTCTGCTTTTGAAAAAATATTAGGGCTAGTCCTTGAGACTCTCACCACAGGAATGCTGGGTGTGAACCTCTCATTTGTAACCTCTGTCGCAAACAGAGTGCTGCTGACGGTCAGTCCTGCAGATGTGACAGGGGTAATTTAACTGCTTCTCCTCCCCCGTCGTATATGGATACTTTGCGAGTTAGGAGTTGATCAGAGACGAACAGGATGGAAAAACCACCCAGCAATGGCTCCCGCCTCCCTTTCAGGGCAAGCCTGGATGCGGAGAGTGAGGGGTGTTCCGGAAAGCAAGGTATTCCCTTATCTGTCCATGCAGAACCCTGCCTTCTTTTCTCTTCTGGTTGATACCCTTGAACCAAACCCTTTCCCAATCGACACTCCTTGAATATGAAGCAAATGAAGGTCTACTTACAATCTGTTGCCATGCCAACGTAGATGCATTTTTTAAAGCGACATTCCTGGCACTGATTTCGCGTGACTTTGTCTATGACACATTTTCCTTCATATTTACAGGAATAGGATGGATGGAGATTTTTCTGAATGGTTCTTCTAAAGAAACCCTACACGAAAAAGAAAGACCCAAGACAATAGTTTCATATTTTAGGGAAATACATGATTCCAGAATTTTGTGTCCATATAAATATGAGATGAATTGTCCTAGATCTTAACCTGTGTCTGGACCTCTAGCTCTACGTACTCAAATCTGGGACAATGGGCCCAAAGGGATCTAGAGAATTCTAAATCTTATCTGAAGAACTAACTCAGGGTCAAAGGACTACAGGGTCAATGCCTTTTGGGCATTCATTCAAGAAAAAGAGACCAATAGGAAAAACTAGTGCTTGCTTGTATTTTTTACTATGTTATTTATTTATATATATTTAATATTTATATTTCCTATCTTATTTATTCCTTATATTATTGAATCATATAAATAAATTATATTGTTTTATTTTATAGAGTGTCAAAATTATGTTGCTAAATTAAATTACAAGGAGCTTTGCTACTTTGTACTGGGAAATAATAGAGCCAGAACCAAAAATAAATAAATAAATAAATAAATAAATAAATAAGCTATATACTTATAAGACTGTATTAATTAACAATTTAGTCATTTGGTAATTAAATAGATGCATTAGCTGCCTTTACAGATTTAGTTTAATTCTTGTTTTTGACTCTTGAGATGGCCATAACTAGTTCACTTAGCCTTCTATTTTTTTTTAATTTTTTTGAGACAGAGTCTCCCTCTGTTGCTTGGACTAGAGTGCCATGGCGTCAGCCTAGCTCATAGCAACCTCAAACTCCTGGGCTCAAGCGATCCTTCTGCCTCAGCCTCCTGAGTAGCTGGGACTACAGGCATGCGCCACCATGTTCGGCTAAGTTTTTCTATATATGTTTAGTTGGCCAACTAATTTCTTTCTATTTTTTTAGTAGAGACGAGGTCTCACTCTTGCTCAGGCTGGTTTCGAACTCCTGACCTCGAGTGATCCACCCGCCTCGGCCTCCCAGAGAGCTAGGATTACAGGCGTGAGCCACTGTGCCTGGCCCACTTAGCCTTTTAAACAATAGCACTTGGGGAGTAGAAAATTCCATGTTTTCTAGCAAATTTTTTTCCATAGTTCATTTCCTTGGGGTTTTTCCTTTTATCACACTCTTTCTCTCTAGTGTTTATAGACACACACCTACAAGTTCAGTATGTTTCTTCCTTTCTTAAGGCACTAGAGAGTGCTACTGTAGCATCTGAGGACATTTAGTTCTAGAATTGGGTGATTTATGTAATATTTGCAATGGTATGCTACATAAGAACCTTTCTGGACATGACCCCCAAGTCTTGGCAACTGTACTCTGTATTGTAGAAATTATTAATAATAACAGTAGTGAGCACTTATTGTGAGGGGCACATTGCAGAGTACTGTCGATGTGTTCCATATCCTAATGGAGGTGCTCTTAATCATCTCCACAGTAGGGATTAAAACAAACAAAGCCTCAGACACATTAAATTACTTGCTCCAAATCACATGGTAATACATGCTGGACCTTGGCCCGTAACCTGGGCGTCACACTCCAAATCTCATTTGTGTAACTGCTTATATGATATAAAATAAGGCAACTTTTGCTGTATTATTTAAATGTGTTAGATGAACAGATTATAAATAGTCCCCTCTCAGCTACCCCTCAAAAAACACTTCATTCTGTTTTGGTACAATAGCAAGGCAAAACAAGTTTTGATAGATGTTCTCTGCTAAAGCTTAAAGAGGACTCTAAGTTGGTTCAATAAATACCAGTTGACCTAGATCAGCCCAAATTTTTATCACCTTGTTTAATTTTCTTTGGCTTTGATTATGTACACATACCCACTTACATATTCCTCACTCAGTCACAAAAGTTCTTCCTTATAATGAAAAGGTCCAAGGTAGGGTTTTCCATTGGGCAAAGCAGAATAAAATGGGAAAATTCCAGGAATAACTGAGACAAATGCACTTGATTTGGGGGTATGCGTGCAAATCACTTGTCATTTCCATTGTTCGAGTTCTAATAGGAAAACTCATATTTTATTTGGGTTTTACGTCCATTAGTTTGATTGATGTTGATATACTGTTATAAGATTCACTGTCACACATAGGGCAGATATTTGAGATGTCTTCCTGGGTGTTCAGGATGGGCAAATCCTGCCCAAGCATGACTGCCAGAGCATGCCACAAGGGTGCAATACAAACTTCTATGTGACCCTCCCTTTTCCACCTCTGTTGTTCTCTGGCCAAGGAAGGCAAAGGAGGGCAAAAGAAACTCAGAGATTCCCAGCAAGAAGGCATATGTCACAGGCAGGGAGGAGAGGGGCAGGGGAGAACACCTCCTCTGGGGGAGGCAAAGTTTCCTTCGAGGTGGAAATGCTACAGTCCAAGACGTCAAGCAAGCATGTCGACTGCTGCTATAAGGATAGGAAGATTATTACTCTATCTGAATTTGGGGAGACCCTTTTCTCCCTCATGCCCTGATGCTGACCCATGTTCTGGGGTGGGGGAAGGGCAGGGCAGGGATCATAGTGAAGAGTCAGACAACGCTAAGAAAAAAATGAGGCATGAGATACCAGACACAAGGGTAACACCTACTTCTTCAAGAGGCTACTCTGTGCACTATTTATTGGAATGAATGAAATAGTTTATACTTTGCTGATTTCAAAACAAGAGGTGGCTAGCTCTACTATTCATTGTGCCATCTTTTCTGTGGCCTACCTCTGATGATTTTTCTTGGGCACTTCATGAACCAAATCCCTTTTAAGACGTTGGCTTCCCCTAAGCTATAACAAAGCATATTTTGACATATGATAAGGAACTACTTCATTTGAGTAAATGTAAAGATGCCAGGTCCCTTAATTTTAAAAAGTGACAACAATTAACTCCTGAAAGTGAACTTGAATAGAAGACATCTAAAATAGTCTACTTACTTAAAAAAACAACAACAACAACAAAAAAACCTTTGGAGGGAGCTGACAAAAGAGATGCCCCAGAGAATAAATAAGGACATATATTTCATTGATGATTTATTGGTGAGTAGAGGTCTTACTTTTATAAATCAATATCAGACATGTTTCTTGGCATTCTGAAAAGAACTGGATCCATTGTTTAGTGCTTTGAGATGCTGTGCTAATCCATGTGATAAGAAGTTAAGTCACTCTCCTAGTTCAATCTTTGGGCAGTTATTAAAAAGCTTTGAGAGTCTTCCTTAAAAAATAGTTTACTATGGGGCAGTGTCAACATTCTTTCTATAAAAGATACATAAAAATTGGCACATCATGATAGGAAAGACATCTCCAAAAGATTTCACCGTTGTCAGGGCAAAAATGGGCAAAAAAGAGTCTCCTCATACACATTGCAAGAATGGGGTAGAAATATTTTTAAATTACAGGTTTGAATAAACAATACATGAAGCATAACCCTTCTCATATTTCACCATTCTTTTTTTATTTCAAAGTATTATGGGGGTACAAATGTTTTTGTTTACAAGGACGGCTTTTGCAATGCTTGAGTCAGACTTATAAGTGTGCCTGTCACCCAGATAGTGTTCACTGTACCCGTTAGGTAGGTTTTTGCCCCTCGCCCTCCTGCCCCTCCCCACTCATTGATTTCCATTGGGTTATACTTCCCGCTATGCACATGTGTGCTCACGGGTTGTTTCACCACTCTTCCAAACTGTGTTTCACTTGAAAAACTCTTTTGTCTTTTTCCAAGCTCCTTTGTCATTATATTAAATGATCCACATAACCATTCTTTTCTGATTGTATATGAAAGCATCAAACAGGATTCTGATCTGAGATAAAGGCACAGGGGCTGAGAAATCTAGCTTTTTGCTACATGTTTTTTTTTTTTTTACATGATTTTTTTTTCTTTTAAGAAAATTTCTGTTTAATCAGCCCCCAAACATCCTGCAATCTTGGGAAAAGAGGCTAGTTGATTTCTTTATCACAATGGAGACACCTGTGAGGCAGGGACATGGGTTAATGGACTCCATTCTCCCTTTGTTTAAGTCAATTGCTAATAATGCATTAAGTCTTCTGTAAGGCACACTCACTCTTTAGAGTCATTTTTGGGAAGTAAGTATTAAATGGAATTTTCAATAGAGTCTCTCCCAGAATTCAAAGTTCACCATTAGAAACTGATTTAAAAGAATTTCAGTGCTGTATAATCAGGTAGGTAAAGCCTTATGAATTGAGGCTAATTTAGAAAAAAGGCCTGTTTGAATTACTGAGCTTTTGGAATGACAGAATATACCTAAAGTTACGTCGTTTTATTAATTTCAAGTCAAGCCCATAAAATTATGCTTTCAAGAGATGGTCTGCAAGTCTCCTGATTAATAAATAGCCAGGACTTACTTGTAATTAGTTTCATTAAATTCCTTAAGACATTAGTTTCATGGATGTAATGGCAATTTTTAGCCCAATCTTTGTTAAAGGACTAAGAATGCCAAATCAAAGGCGTCTGGATGAATGAGAACATATTACATCTTATTCCAAAACCAGTCTTGCAGATATAAGAACTTTGGACTTTAGACATTACCTCTTTCGAATGGATATATCATCTCAAAAGGAAATTTACACGGAAAATCTTCTACTGGGAAAATGGTGCACAACAGTGGTTTGAAACCAAGCTACCTTGTTAAATTTTGGGGGTTTAGCAGCAAGGGCAGAAAAAAAGGGAGTGGTGGAGGAAGGGAAGAGGAAAAGAGGAGGTCAGGTGGGTGAGGGGGGAGGGAAGATGGAATTGTTTTATAAATTTTAATACAATTTTTGCTTTAGGGTTTATATCTTCTGAAAATTTAGTTTTAAATATAAAAGATAAATGAAACATTTACCCGGAAAGCAATTTTAAAAGTCCTTCCCTGACTTTAAACACTTCCTCATTTATAAAGCATTAGCTGAACACTGGGTACACCATGGGGTTGGGCTTTGTTTACCTGTATGGTAGACTTCATTTACCAGGCTAGGTTGTTGGACTGAAAGACATTTTCCAGAAAGCATATCTTAATTTTGTTGATGAAGACTGTAAGTAGGCAAATTTAGGCTCCCTTTCGGGAAGTGAATGGACTAGTCTATTCTTGTCAAGTACTTCCTGAAGATGGGCCTATAGAGCATAAATTAGCCAATGGGTGATGAGAATCTTACTGACTGCGGGTTGTGCCGAAAGCCAATTTGGATAATTTAAGAACATAATTGAATCTAAGTGGCCTCAAAAATATTCCCTACTGGAACCCTTAAAAGTGAGCATATTCACTCAGAGCAAGGGTGAAAAACAGCTTGTGGTAGAGTACACTCTGTCTCCTCAAACACTGTAGATAAAACAGGAAGAGAAACAGTAATTTCTTGGGATGACAACATGTTGAAAGGATCTATGCTTTTTAAACCCATGGTAAGAGTTAGTTCCTTTTTATTTTATTGATTCTGTTTTAAAAACACTTTCTTGGTAAAGAAACCAGATGTAACACTGTCATAAACTTTGCTTAGTTACTTATGATTTGGAAAAAAAATTTCAGTTCTTAAACATGTCAAAAATGAGGAGCACAATCAGATACCTGGATGATCACAGCCATGGATGTTGGAATTGGTTTTAATTTGAACTTGAACTTCACATTGCATTCTGGTAGGACCTTGGGCAGGAGTAGGGGATGGAGGTGGGGGGACGGGGGCTGGGCTGGGCTTCTCCGTGCTCGTGGACTCAGGGTAATTACCTTGCAGCCTTCACACGTGATACAGCGGTAGTGATACCCAGTGGCTTTGTCACCGCACACTACACATAGCTCGTCCTTGTCCAGGTAACTGGGGATGTACCCTGTGAAGGAGATAAAAAGAGGCATGTGAAAAACCAGTATCATGTTAAAGTCAAAGATACACTATGGCTAGTTGGTTTGCCAAGAGGAAGTGATGACAGAGAAGACTTAATGAAACCAAATGGCAATTATCTGATGCTCATAGAGTTAATGTCAAGCCCAGGACTTCAGAATGCCTTGGAAATAGGTGCACTCGTCTTGCTGCACAGGTGGGAATGGCAGGAAGGCTGCAGAGGGAATGAATCTCGTAGAGAGACCAGGAATTGCAACACATGGAGCACCGTGAATTCTAGATAACCCTACCTCTTTCACAAGGCTTATTTTAGAACTAGTTCTTAAAAGACTTGATCCACTTTGGAATCACAGTACCAAGCGATAAATTCAGAAAACGTTATAGCTGGAAAGGGCCTGGGAGATGATGAAGTATTTTTAAGGTGAAGAAACAGGAGTTCAGAGGTTTGGCGTTCCTCAAGGTCACATTAGAAATTATTAGCAGAGTCTAAAACCCACATCTCTTAACTTCTAATCCTCTAGTACAAGTTATGCTGGTCTTTTTCTAAAAATAGAGAGTTAACTTTAAGTAGAATGAATAAGGTCGCCTAAAAATAAATTAGGCAAACATGTGATATTATGATACACAATCCAACAACATTGGGTAGCATGGAATAATAGAGGTTTTATTTATTAAGGAAAAAAAGAAAATCCAACCATGATAACTCTCGTCATTAGTGTACAACGATTTTCTTAGTCTAGATTCTTTGACCCAGGAACCTAAAATTTACAAACAAAAAACCACAGAATCCTCTTGCTTCCCATCTGCCTTTGCTTCTTTCCTTTCCCTTAGAGTTTCCTGTTTCCCACACATAGGAATCTGATTCAGGGGGCAAATTCAGTTCACGTGTATCAACCATTCACCATACAAGTACATAGCTTTAGGTAAGACCAGCACATCAAGACAGGGCACAGTTTGTTGGGATGTGAAGAAGGGAGAGGCTGAGAAAACAAAATCATTCTTTCTCCTGATCATAGTCCTGATGAAGTTTTTTGACTCAGTAGACTCTTCTTGGTTTTAATGCAGATGAGCTAGGTTGAAATGACTGATGACTTATTATGTATTTCACCATGACATTTTCATAGATTTTTATTAAACTAGGTTAGTGAGGGCTTACTTTTCAGAAAAAAAGGCATAAAGTAAACAGAAGAAAAGGAATCCTATTCATAATTTCTTAGAAATTACTTTGCCCAGACTTTAATTTAGAAAAATGTTCCCTCTTATGAGGCAGATAAATGATTTCAAAGTGAGATTTGGTAATGTACAGGATTATTTTTTTAAATATCACAGCTTTTCTTAGTTTACTTTTGCATCATGCTACCCATGATTCATCTGTTGAGTTCACTTCAAGGGTTTCAAAACTCTCGTCAGATGTTTTTTAAAGGTGAATTCTGGGAAGAATCTGGGCAGGAAAAAATGGGATCTGGAATGATTTGTGTGTTCATTCAATTGTCCATCTATTTGTGAATTTAGCAAATATTTATTTAGGATCGACTATGTTTTTAGCATTATGCCAGATGCTGAGAATATAACAATAAATAAGATATGGTTTTTTCCTTTAAGAACTTATAAGCAATTGAGTTCTGATTCTCCAGCCCTGGTCATTCCTCAGTGAGAGAAAGAGAGGTGCAAATGAAGAAAAGAACATGAAAAGATGCTCAATATCATTGCAGGAAAATGCAAATCAAAAACTGCAATGAGGTACCACTTTACACTCACTAAGATAATTTTACCAAAAATTACAGACAGTAACAAGTGTTGGCAAAGACGTGTGCTCAGTTGCACATATAAAGATCTACTTATAAAGTACAAAATAACTTTAAAGCAGCAAAGTAACTCAGTTATGAAAACAAGCACCTTCCTGGTAAAGGCAGATGGGCTATAGATATTAACGTTGCCAGCAAAACTACATCTTGACCTCTTATACCTCGAGGTTATGTACGGCTGATCCAACAGGGTAAAGACTTTTGAGTTCTTGATATTAAGTATAGAACACAGAGATAAGGGAAAATAAGGTACAAGGCATTTCCCTCTAATCTCACATGTGAGAACTAATTGTAGTACAGTTGGACACTGTGTTGTTTCTGAGACATACCTTGGGAGGGGCCACACATGGTGTTTGAGAACTTTAATCAGAGTTGAGAGGATGCAGGTAATTCACTTCACCTCACATTCCCTCACCTACCGCCTCACCAGACCTGCTGGCTTTAACTTTTGGCATTGGCAGCAAGACTCTGAAGATTTCTTCCTCTCTGTAGCTAAACAATGTATGTAAAAGGTCAAACTAACCTTGAAGGTTCTTGTGAATCCTGGAGTCTAACAATAATTCAATCAAGTGAGTAGAATGGCCTCCTTCCATTTTTTGACTGCTAGGCTGACAGTGGTTTGCTTTATTCTTTTGTTTCTCCTAGATCCTCTTCTTGGTGGGTGGAGATGATTAAACGTCTTTAGTTAAATCATCAGACCTTCTAAAGAAACATCTACTTAAGTTGGTGGCAGTTGCTTACTCGATCATACTCGTGCACCCCACCCATTCTTTTCTTTTCTCGAGAATATTAACTCTGAACCATCTTAGTTATCCAAAACTTAGTTAGTGCAGGCAACGATACATCAATCATTATGCACACGTCCATTGTTCGTCATTAAACAACTTCTCTGAGGGAATGACATCCCACACATAATGACTAGGGTAGGTGGGGTTGCTCTTGAGCTTACTAAACATGCTTGACAACATCGTATGCAAACCAATTCTCCTGGAGAACTTAACCACTTTTTGCCATTCTATTTCAGTGTCTCTATCTTTTTTCCTCTTTCATACTCATCAAATGAGTCACATGGTGGCCAATATGCCCAAGTAAGGAAAACCCATTAGTTCTGTTGCCAGGAGTGGACACCGGTGGTTATTATCATATTAGTTTTAAGTTCTGCCTAGAATCAAATAGAAGAGATATAATCCTTGAAGCTACACTCTTCATCTGAAGAACTGCATCTGCAATTTTTTCCAGGTGACTGCTAAAGGAGCCTGATTAATAATCCCTCCAGACAACAATTAAGACTCATGACAATATGTGGTAGTTCAAGGAGGATACATTTTCCCCAATTCTTCTTCACTCAGATGCATTAGTTTTCAGATTAATAAACTATGCCACCACTGTATCAAGTGTATTTTAATATAAGCAAACTCCATCTGTTCAACACAGGACTTGGAGATTTTTTCAGTTGACATTTGGCAATGTCTGATTAATTGCTAAGTATTATCCTGTATATAAAATAGGTTGACATGGTAAAATATTATTAACTTTAAAAAGTACTTTTTTTGGTAACAGCTTTATTAGGATATAAATCACATACTATACAATTCAATGGCTTTTTATCGTATTCACAGAGTTGAGAAACAATCACCACAATCAATTTTATTTTATTTTATTTTTTTTGAGACAGAGTCTCACTCTGTTGCCTGGGCTAGAGTGCAGAGGCATCAGCCTAGCTCACAACAACCTCAAACTCCTGGGCTCAAGCGATCCTTCTGCCTCAGCCTCCCGAGTAGCTGGGACTACAGGCATGTGCCACCATGCCCAGCTAATTTTTTTCTATATTTTTTTAGTTGACCAATTAATTTTTTTCTATTTTTAGTAGAGATGGGGTCTCGCTCTTGCTCAGGCTGGTCTCGAACTTCTGACCTTGAGCGATCCACCCGCCTCGGCCTCCCAGAATGCTAGGATTACAGGCGTGAGCCACTGCACCTGGCCCACAATCAATTTTAGAATATTTTCATCATCCCCCAAATAAACTTTGTACCTTCAGAGGTCACCCTGCTCCATTCCCCTCTTGACTTAGGCAACCACTAATCTACTTTCTGTTTCCGCAAATGTACCTAATATGGACATTTCATATACATGGAACCATACAATAAGTGGTCTTTTGTGATTGGTTTTTCACTTAGCATAATGTTTCAAAAGTTCACCCATGTTGCAGCTAACACTAATTTTAGACATTTTATTCTCAGTGGGACTTGAGAATAAAATTTGTGTAGAAGGGAAAAGTTTTGTACGTTTGCACTGCAAATTGTGCAACAGGTAGTAAACTTGGCTTCTTGGTTTACACTAGATTCAATGCTTCCCCCTCTATGGCTAAAATCAGAAGGCTGCTTAGTTCAGTTCTCTTGAGGGAATTATAATAGCATCCCAGGTCCTAGGAGGAGAAACACTGGTACCTCTTGTCATCTTGGCAGACACATGGCCCTTAGGGAATAGAATATAAAGCAGATTCATCTTGAAGATAGGTTCTAAGGTAGAAGGTGCTGCCTAGGAGGGTAGATACAGGAGCAGAGGAGAAGAGCTGAGTTCAGAGATCTTTTCCAATCTGGCTAATCTCACCTTCTGTATAAGGCTACTAGCCTAGAAGAACCAGTCCTGGCATCTTGAGGGGGCAACTGTTATCTCTGGTAGTGGAAAACAGTTTGGGCCACTCAGAAAAGTGAAGAAGTTCCATGTTGCTGATTCATCTTGTGGAACTATCAACTCAGAGCCAGCAAGAACCCTGAGTGGCTTGGGACAGGATATAGCATAAGACTATATTTTAACACCCCTAAGGAAGCTACATCATGCACATTCTTCTGATTTTGTATTGTACCTCCTCAATTCTTGCAGCTCAGACCCTTCTGATTGAAGCTTTATTTCCAATGACACCTTCTTCCCTATGCCATTTCTTTTTTTTCTTTTTCTTTTTTTTTTTTTTTTTGAGACAGTCTCACTCTGTTGCCCAGGCTAGAGTGCCATGGCATCAGTCTAGCTCACAGCAACCTCAACCTCCGGGGCTCAAGCAATCCTTCTGCCTCCCAAATAGCTGGGACTACAGGCATGTGCCACCATGCCTGGCTAATTTTTTCTATATATATTTTTAGTCATCCAGATAATTTCTATTTATAGTAGAGACAGGGTCTCGCTCTAG